AAAACTTGAGTATTACATACCAAAATTCCAGAACTTCGTGATAAAGTTCGCAGCAGTAAATTTGTATGTGCATTAAATAACCACCAAGGCCAACGAGGAACGCAAAATATGAGTGAGCATATTTGGAAAAGACATGCAACTTGTGTAACCGCCCACATACGCCTGGCAGCAAAACTGTGCTCTGCTGAACAACAAAAACAACAAATGCAGGGCTGTCAGAAGGCAAGAGTTCCTCCCACACCAGTCAGTACAGTGCCTGTCCGTCTGTCTGTCAGTCTCTTCACGTGCTGCTGAATATCCGACAGTGTTCCGCAAATTAAGGGCCGCAGTTCGCTAGTTATCCGACAAGCACAAGTAAGAATATTATTATGGCCTTAAACGTGTCATGCACTGATTTCACATGAATACCACTTAGAGACATGACCACTAAATGACGTTGTTATTATTATTATTATTATTATTATTTAATAGCTGAGGCAATGTAGCGACAGGCCTGGGTTCGATTCCCGGCAGAAGTACGATTTTTTTTTCTCTACAGTATCCAGACGGACTCTGGGGCCCACCCAGCCTCCTATTCTATGGGTACCGGGGGCGATTTCATCTCCATCTACTGCCGATGTCAAGAATGGTAAAGTTATACCTCCACTCACCCGCACGTCTTAACTGCATATGGCTTAATTAATAACGCAGACGGACAACTGCAGCTTTTACTACCAATAATGCTATTAATACTGTCTTTGTTATTGTGTACGTTAAAATTTTTCTATTATCTGCAGTTCTTCTTTATGCAGTTTACTATATTATCTATAATTCTGACACTGTCTCCTTGCCAATGGTTGCCTGTAATTGGCGCTCCTGCATTCGTCAAGCGCTTTAATAAATGAAATTACTTTAATAACAAAACGATGATGCTGACGACGACATCGCCGACTATGATGATGATGATCGTGATTGTGAACCCTCTTCATACAGTTCAATCCATACACCTAAATTATTTCTTTGCATATAATCCTAGTTCTCTTTAGCAGTAATTTTTGTTATTATTGTTATCTTCAGGCGCTTTTCAGCTGTTTCAGTTATGCATTTTTGAATAGTCGGAACATTACGAATGAAGATAGGCACAGGCGTGCCTGTTGCAGACACTGCCCCATGCACTTGCCAGAAGAGACTGCGGCAAATGATATCATACCTAGGATCGAACGGCCGGTCTCCAGGTCTAAACTCGCACCCGCGACCTTAAGAGACTAAGCAGGACGGCTGTATCACTTCACGGCATCATTCGATGCCACAATTTAAATATGTCTGTATATGCCTTGGTTTATAACACGCCTGTTCATCAACTGCCTCAATTTGATGACGCGGCCTTGTAAATTCCCGGCGTTTTTTCGGAAGGATCGATGAAAGCTTCAGTGAGAAGTGCTCATTACCTGTCTGGAATTCGAATCCGGATCTCATGAATAAGAAGATGAAGGACAGAAGCAGGAAACCTAAACACTACACTACAATGCTCGGTTCTCTTTCAACTGTCTACTTCACTTAAAGAGGTAGAATACAGTAAAAGAAACATATGCCACCCTTAACGCTTTAAAGCAGCGTGGTTGCTATATGTACCTCCTGCTTTAACACACTAAACTCTGCATTCTGCCCACACAGTGTATCCTTGTTTTTCGTACTGTTCTTATACTAAATAGCGTTTGTTTCCGCCAACGACATTAACCGGTTGATCTTTGTAACGGAGACGTCTTATATAATATGTATAAGAACTCTGGTCGTGAGTTTCAAGGGGCTTGACGGCAAGGTGAACTGACTGGCAGTAAACCGCTAGTCGTAAAGTAACTCTGATTTTGACTTAGTTAACCAAAACCCAAAGCCTGAAAGTATAACTAGGCCACCCTGTTCCTGGAGAATATTAACATGGGGACCTGGCCCACCAGGTTGGGGGAGTCTGGAATCTCAGACAGTATTATATGGTCGTGAGTCCCGTGGGGCTCTGACTCGAGAATAACTGTGCTAGCGAGGGTCACCAGCAATTGTAAACGACAGACTCGCCCTCTCGTCAGACGGGACGCCCCATATCAACAAACCCGCAGCTGTCTGACAATAACAAAAATCTGCTTTTGGGCCCCAGAGGGGGGTTGACACCAAGATAACCTGGCCGACTAACCGTCCTTCGTAACATATCTTTCATAAATTTGATTTGTTTCATTCTGGTCCGTCACACTAACAATTATAAATACAAACCACTCCGCCCAATGTGACAAGTAAGTTTTTACTACGTTAAAACTTATCTCTATTACATGTTTCGGTACTTACGGGCCATCTTCAGAGGGAACATCATTACAAACCGGAAACTACCATCACAATAGGTGTTTTGATTTAAAATACATACACTTATATCCTATAATGCACAGTACGCATAAAGTCGAACGTTTCACAAAAACAGCAGCTTCCTGGTGTTGTAAAGTTTTTAAAAGTTTCTAGATGTTATTTAAAAAACCTTTATTGTCAATAGTTAAAATTTTTTAAAAGCATGTAGGATCGTGTCCGTACTCCTATCGTCCTTCTTGTATGGGGCAGATTTTGTGCCGCCTGTCTATCTTGATGAGGAGGTTCTTGATGTCGTCCAGGGTTTGTTCGTGGCTTGCTGTGTTGTTTTCACTGTCACATTGGACGGAGTGGTTTGTCTTTATATCTTTCATCTTTACAGTCAGCTAAGACAGTTCAGCGGATTAACTGCAGTTTCAGGATAGCGACAGAAGTTAAGACATAACACGCTGCACAAGTCTGCGTTGAATGAATGAATGAATGAATGTATAAGGGGGGGGGCCTTCTTGCCCTTGCACCGCGACCACAGTGATCTATTGTGCCTCCGCTTCTGATTATCCCCTCAGCAATCCTGCGCTTCGAATGAAGCGTAGGATTTTGTACGTGGGGACGTCGAAATAGTCACTTGGTTCCATAAAATATTGACCCAAGTGACATAATCTTAAATAAGCTAAGGCCTCACATTCACACAGGATATGTGTGGCTGTTTCATTTTCTTCTTGATACCTCTCACAAGTTGGACTGTCACTTAGTCCCAGTTTGAAGAGGTGTCCTTTGAGGTGACAGTGTCCTGTAAGTAGTCCTACCACCCATCGTAGCTGGTTCCTATTTAACTTCAACAGTTCCTTCACTCTTTTAGTGGAGGGTCCTCATATGAGGCCCTTTGCTTGCCTGAGTCCGGTTAAGGATCTCCAGTATTTCTTGCAAGCCTGCGTTGGCATAAAACCTCTGTATTTTTTCTTTTGGCGCTACAGCCCCAATTTTGGCCTTGGTCTACCTCCATGAAACTCCGTTTCACTTCAGTCTACTAAATTTTAGACATTCGGTAGAACTCCTTAGGCGGCTGATCAGCTCGTCGCAAGGCCTCTACTTATATACAAACACAAGAAAGCGTGCGCGCGTGCGCGCACGCACACACCAAACATCCATGCCCTGAATGGGATTCGAACCCATGATCCCGGCTTCCGAGCGAGCGAAGGCAGTGCATGCCTCAGACCGCTCGGCTACCGTGACCGGCAAAAACCTCTGTATATACGTTGTATAAATGTTACTATAGTGCATAGACAAAACTTTCACAGAGTATATAGTGACTTGGAGGCCATGACAGCACGGCTATACTCGTGCTCAGCTACGGTGCAACAGCCGTAGCGCCTACACGGAGAGACCGACCCCCCTCATACAATAGGAGAACCCATTTCTAAACACGTACATGTTCAGGATAGAACAGAACCTTCGTCATAGATCTCGGCAAGACCTGAAGCCAGGAATGACCATGCTGGAGAGGATCAGCAACAATTTAAACCACCGATCAGTCTTCAAGGGTTAACATACTAAAATTTTGTGTATGTGAGGGCATTTCTGTAATATAGTATTTATTTATTTATTTATAGTATTATGTATTTGAATGCATCGTACTTTTAAATAGGCCCTTACAGAAGAAACTTCACGCAATATATAGCGCACTTAGTGATCTACGGCAACAGGCATAAAGCTCGTACTGAGGGAAACTGAGGAAACCTGTAGATGTAGGGTTCAGGAACATTTTGGAAATCCCTATACCAGAAGACTGCAGCGGAGTCAGGAGGTCAAGCACAATACAAAGACATGCAGATATATCCTCAGGGTGCATTTAATTTTTCCATGACGGCCCTGTAGTGAATAAAGTGGATACCACAGAGCTGACAGGACGGTCTTAAATTTCGGCCAGCATTTTCGATGTCACACACTTAAGAGCAATAAATAGTAATGGAATGGCTTTCTCTACGTCGGTCTTTATGCGGATACTATGCAGACCGCATGTGTATTACAGAAGAGTCCCTAACTTAATTTCTTTCTGAGGTTCATTCTTAGCGAGATTCGCCGAAAATGGATAGACGTTTAAGTAATGTGGGCATTAAAAGTGAAGAAATTCAAGCATGAACATATTAGTGTAAAAGAAATGCCGATGCCATCCCTGGTCTCAAATTATATAAACAGAAGTCCACAAATAAGAGGACCCTTAAATAGACCACATTAAACAAAAAACANAGCAGACTGATTTTACCGTTTCTCACGGTCTCTTCGCTTGCAGCTTTCTTATATTTTTTCTTCTACCCTGAAGATGGAGGCGATACGTTCCTCCGAAACGTCGGTTAACACCACATATGCACGGTGCCAAATCCCAGAAGACTAAAAAAATAAAGTACCTCAACAACATATAGTTCAAACTGACCCTACTGCGATTTTTACAAATGGGTCATATAATTTGGGGGCTGTTACTTGTGGACATACATACAGACACATTTGACTTGACAAAATTAATAGAAGTTTTCAGAATTTATATTTCGAAACCAATCTATGAATGCATTATAGCGAAACTGGTTCTGAAAATGTAAATTGAACTGAACTGACCTGTGTTCATGCACAGCATTTGCACTGCGTTAGCGGTAATGAACACTACAACGTATTTTACTTACAGTGACGTAAGAGACTTCAGGCCCAGGAAGGCGTCAGCCGCTATCTTTGTGATCTGGTTCTTGCTCAAGTCTCTGCAACAGTAAACACAACCTCATTATCAATGGACAATGAGTCAGTAGGAGCACATACAATGAAGAATGCAGTAACCAGCCTGATGGATTCTAGTCTACAGCATCAAAGTAACAAGAGATCTTGGTACCATTGGATGATCCACCGTTGTAAATTTTGATTTCATCGTGACTAACGTCCTCAAGGGATCAAACAGTGGCGACTGATTAGTAAAGTTATAACCTGACTGAATAATTCCGACAGAAAGAGTCCTTCTTGAGAAAATGGTAATAGCTTAGGTGGTGAAGAAATTCCCCTGCTTTTACACAAACTGAAATTTCATTACTGCCTTCATAAGAGGGCCATACACTCTGAGGCTTTCAACACATTTCGTAACATTCTAATTTCTTATGGTGGCGGTTGTTGCGTCTCCACTCAACCCCAAAGCTAGCTCACCCACTGTCAGCTCTTTGCCAATGTTTATCCATCACATTGGCAGACATTTTGAGGCAATCTCCACCATTCAAAATATGATGTCATGCCATGCCCGGTAAGGGATCCACTTAACACGGCCTCAACAGAACTATAATCTTCTGATATGTGAATACTGTATAGCAGAGTCATGCTGTGTTGTACTTCCAAGTCAGCACAACTTGTGAATAGATACACTACACGTTCATTATCTGTAATGCACACTCACTGTTAGCTCCATTGCTCACCCAGTACACTGAACAATGCTTACAGTGGGTATATGATTCTGTGTTGTTGGTTTGGCATAATGGGGTACAATATGCCACATATGTAAACAGAATTGGAGATATGCATCCCGTACCGGAAAACACACAGTTCCCACATGTTCCCCACTCTCCGAGCTACTCCGGATAACCTCGCTCTTCACAGCCTCCGCTCTCCAATTAACCTCATGGTAGGCCGCGCCATAGCTCAAGCGGTTAGTCGCTGTCTTCCCACCGCGACGGCCCGGGTTCGATCTGGGGTCTGGTTAAGTGCGATTTGTGGTGGGAAAAGTGGCGCTGGGGCGGGTTTTCTCCGAGTACTTCGGTTTCCCCTGCCAATCTTCATTCCACCATATTCTCCATTATCATAATCACCCGGGGCAGGTACAATAGGCCAATCAGTGGCCGCCGTGCCGAGTGGACCCAGTTAGACTCCACCCCACCCACCCCCCTAACTAAGGGAAAAAGAAAAACTTCATGGAACTGAGCCCTTCTTGAGAAGCCACCCATTGTGCAGCTACTCAAGAACATCCCAGAATTTTATGGAACCCGATGGTTCATTACCGTGTCCACAAGAGCACTCCACTGTCCCTATCCTCAGCCAGATCAATCCAGTTCATACCTTCTCATCCTATTTCTCTAAGATCAGTTTTATTATTATCATCCACTGCGCCTTCGTCTTCCCAGTGGTCTCTTTCATTCTGGATTTCCCACCAATATCCTATATGCATTCCCCTTCTCCCCTTCGCGCTACATGCCCTGCCCACATAACCCTCCTTAGAAAAGAGTACAAGTTATGAAGCTCCTCATTATGCAGTTTTCTCCAGCCTCCTGTCACGTCATCTCTCTTCAGTACAAATAAAGTTGTCAGCATCCTTTTCTCAAACATCTTCAGTCTATGTTCCTCCCTTAATGTAAGAGACCAAGTTTCACAACCATAAAGAACCATAGACAGAATTATGGATTCTACTCTCACTTCGTGTAAATGTCTTCATGGGCATATTTAATTAGTTAATTCAATTTACTTTAGTCATTGCAGGTTCATATATTTCGTTGTAAAACGAACCGCACTACACAGACGTCTAACAGTGTTGGAAATGTATCATAATCTTTAAATATTTACCAGACGAAATATGTTACAAATTAAATGTAATGTGTTATGTTAATATCACGTCACAAAAAAATCATTTTTATGAAGAGCGCGGGTTTCAAAAATAAAAACTGATTGTCCCCACCTAAATTTCAATTTGATCTTCATACCAGCTATACTGGTTCCGAAACGAATCAATATTAAAGCCTCATAACAATATTAAATGAAGATCCTCAATAGGGTGAACAGAAATCCTCTATACGCTACGGAAAACTGGGATACACAAAACTTCCGAACCCTAAAACACACACACGGCAACACATCTATGTCTCCTTACTTGGTCAAACCACCGTATAAGGTCACTAGCCGCCAGTTGGAGGTCCAGGTTAAAGAAACTTAAGACAACGGAAAAAGAAGGTTTAAGACTTTCTAATTTTTCATACGGAAATAAGCAGGTGTCTACACATTTATATCTATTCGTCATACGTCACTTCTGCTCTCCGTAAGTGAAAAGTGCTGCACGAAATTGTCTGACGCGATAATATCAGGTTACAAGGCAACACAATCCGAGGGGTGAATCCTCAATAAATTATAAACGTGCTGGCGATCCGTTGCTTAGCGAGAACCCCTTCTTGGGAGTTGTATTACCCTCGTCTCACAAATTCCCTTGGAGACTAGAACGGAAAATTACATCGGCGGCCTGTCACTTCGCATTACTGCCGTCACGGGACAATAGATGAAGTTGTTACGTCATGATTTCGCATGAGCGAATTCTCTCCTGCCAAAGAGTTCCATATCGGTTTCAAGATGTAAAACACAACACACAGTAACAAGACGCCACTTTCTTTAGTTTCAGGGCTGTTTTCTGGAAGGAAAGGCGAGTGTTCTAAAGGCTTTATGACGCGTACATTCCTTCAATCTATGCAATGGAGCTAGAAATAACTGCAAAATTTAGCGAACCATTTCTGTGCATACAGTTGACCAATGTAGATTCTGGTCACTTTGTTTTATTTATTTTATTTGCAGTTTACTTAAAGACTTCACCAGTAACTTCGACTATATATAGCGTCGAATGACCGGATTTTAGTCAACAATGAGCTGATAATGATGTAGAAAGTAGATGCCATGCTCTAACTCAAGGTAATTGCCTGGAGGGACTGAGAAAGGCCACGAAAACCATCAGTCAGGATAGCTGGTGTCCCGGCCAAGATTAAAACCAGGCACTTTCCAAATACAGTAAAACTTGGTTATAGCAACATCGGTTTATGCGACACCTTGTCTATTGCGTCAATATTCAATGGTACGAACTAATTCCTCATAAAGCAACTGTTTTTATACCTTGCTTAGTACGACATGCACAAATGCATCAACCTCGTATGTAACGTCATTTTCATTCCTGAATTTCTCTGATATGGACATTGAACGTAATTTAGAAAGTGTGTATTGGGCAAGTAACAGGAAACAGATGAAGATAACTGATTACTGTACTCGTATCTAGGTACAGTAAGGCACAACAATTGATGTAATCTACTGTAATTTGGTGAGTAGGCCTACCTTTAATATACAGTATTAGTGCGGTGTGTACTGTCAGTGAGAAGCGCTGTAATATGTCTTTGATATTACACATTTGGGCAATTCCACGTTAATGTTAAGTTAGTCTGTATTTAATTACGTATTTCACTAAAAAATACAACATTTTAACTCGGTTTTTGGTAGATTTTTACGTGACTAACATAAGGCTACTGTGGAAGTGCCCATTTCGGTTACAACGACATTCGTTTATAACGACACTATTTTTAGGTCCCTTTGATGACGTTATAACCAAGTTCTACTGTATATGTCAGAACGGTTACCGATCGAGCCAACGTTCTTGGTCTACTACGTCGAATCTTCCGAGTCCACAAACAAACTAACTAACTAATTAACTAAATTCATGGAGCTGAGCCCTTCTTGAGAATCCACAAATTGTGTAGCTACTGAAGAACTTCCCAGCATTTATGGAACCCGAAAATTCATTCTCGTGTTCACAACAGCCCTCCACTGGTCCCTGTCCTGAGGGAGATAAAGTTCTGGTTTATTATGTCGAATCTCAAAGCGGATCCACAGAAAACAGCGCTCCCATCAGTACTTCCATTGTTGCATGCAGACAGTTGCCTAGCAACGGCACCAGTACTGTTGCGTACTTACGAAGATGTTGCCTAGCAATGTCCATTGCTTCTTTGTTTCGCGGTTGTTGCCTAACAACTGGTCTGTATATCACAATACTGTTACAGAACACATTTAGATTACTACTAATTTTTGTCACGATATGAAGACAAGAATGAGCATAAATTATTTTCATTTAAGAGAACTCAAAGAAAGAGGTTGTGAAATGTGGCGCCCCTAAGGTCATGCCGCCGCAGCGACTTCCGGTTCTCCTGTCCCTTCTCATCGGCTCTGCACGCTACTTTACGTGATGCTTAAATCGAAATTTATCGATATTCAAAGGAAAGGGTGGGGGCCCTCGTGTAGGTAAATTGGCATCTGACTTCAAATATAGATGTCACTAAGAACAATAACCACTTCTAGACATGATTAATGTCCAACAAAACGAGAGGAAAATAACTTCGTTCTACTCTGGAACATCTGTTGCATGTTTACTTTGTAACAGTGGGTTCAAACCTGCAATACACTAAACTGACAGTGAGGTCAATATTACCAGAAATTAATCTCCTTGTGTCAATAAAAATTCCTTTCTCAGTGGGTGTTTCTTTTGGTCACAGTAAACATTTATCTTATACTTCCATTCACTTGATCCCTTCCCACGAATTTCATAAGGACTTCATTTATTGAAATTTGTTCACTCCTCTTTTAAACTGTTTGAAGCAACAAAGAATATTTCCTTCGTGAAAGCCACATGCGGCCCCCACGTTGCTCATCTATGCCATTACATGCAAAAAGAAAATATTAAAAATGAAAGTATTAAAATATAAGTGTACACTTACATTTTGTTCATCCTTTTATATGGGGCAAACGCCTTGGGAGGGACCTCTGTTATGGAGTTCTGCTCCAGTCGTCTGGAAATGGAACACATCAACATTATCTCTGACGCAATAATTAACTGCTGACGTCTAGAACTGGTTGCTAGGCAATACACATTACAATTATACAGACAACTCAATAATTTCTAATGTTTACATTTGATGTCTGTCTGTTACCTGGTGCTAGCATTGTAATCAGTACAGATGAAACATGTGGTGAAAAAAATATATGGAGTTAAAGGAAGTCTTTAAAATGGATAATTATGGGTCATCTTGCCTGCACTGAAAGACAGGACCATTAACTTTAACAAGCAAGAGTAAACTGAACCTCAGATCTTGGCATGTTAACCATGGTTTATGAAGCTAAGTCCAATATAACGATAAAGATCCGTTCGATTTTTTGTAACTTCAGTTACATAAAGAAACGTTTTCAGACGCGTTACACTTCCAGTTTGAGAAGATAAAGTGATTGCATTTGCATTTAAGAGTGAGTTTTAAAGAATCCCTCTTTATCTTAGAGCCATAAATGGTATCGCCTTCGCCCGGGACAATTAGGAACAGGTTTATGAGACTCGAAAATGAATTTAAGATGTCAAAAAAATGGGGGGGAGGCTTCCTACCATGATAAAGTATCTGCTATGTTAACACGGAAACACCAGTCATCTTGGTTCTGGTAGGAGCTTATGAACAAAACTGGAATCTTAGCAAATCTCATGTGTAAAACACGTTCTAACGTTTGTACACATAAATATCTCAATTTTAACGACAGAAATCGTCAAAAATGAATAATCTGGTACAACAGTGTTTCCCAAACTTAAAATATATTCGTGCCCCTTTTCGAGCCTTCATCTTACCGGTATACTTCTCTCCTCTCTCTCTTTCACTTTGGAGCACATGGCTGATTTCTCAGTTTCATTGATCATTTTACAGACGGTAGGACTCCTTGGACAGGTGATCAGCTCGTCGCAAGGCCTCTACCTAAACGCAGGACCAGAATAAACGGATACACACATCAAATATCCATGCCTTGTGTGGGATTCGAACCCACGATCCAGGCTACCGAGCGAGCGAAGACAGTGCATGCCTTAGACAGCTCGGCTACTGTGACCCGCTTCTCTCATTTACGTGGCTCAGAATCCCTTAACTCGTAGGCAGTAGAAGCACGCTATGATGAAGCTTTAGATACGAAACAAAGAAAATAAATGAAGTCTATGAGATAACCTAAATACACGTAAGTAAGTAAACTTGCGACTTTTATCCGGTGGTCGTTAACAAGGTAATAATTATTCTCAGTTGGAACCTACACATGGACCTGCAAATGTTGTGAAGAGTGGAAGTGCTCGTGACCTGACAGTAGTACAGGGATATCAGGCTCTGTGTTCGTGAGCTGAAGATCGAGATGTGGTTCCACGTCGAAAAGTCGATCTTTAGGTTCTCGTTTAAAAAATCACTATATACTTGGCAATGTTGTGTAAGTAAGCATGGTAATACGGGGCTGTAAAGACATGCTCCATTCTTTTGCATAGAAATGCGATGATAGTTCTTTATGTTTCGAGCGAAATTATTAAAAAAAAAATGATACCCTGGTAGAAAACGTTTCAAAGGCCCGCCACTTAAACTGCACTGAATACTAAATCTTGACTTTCGAAAAATGTTCGTTGTATCAAGAAAGCTTTTATTATAACATTTCGCATTAATTAGTTCTACAGTTTGATTTGGAAAGATTCTTCGCTCCGTCAAGAAATGCATTAGATAGTCTTTACTGTTGGCTTTGATCTTAATGTAAAATGCTACTTATATTAATTAAATTTTCACGAAACTCGTAACTGCAAATCTTATAGACGGAATTCCATTCAAATTGTCCGAGCCCTTTAGGCGCCGACACTAGGTCACGGGCAGACATACATGACGTCAACATAAGGCACCTCTTAAAACAGAGAAATTGAGTGGATGTTAAACAGTTGAAAGCATTTGATTCAGAATATTGTCGCGTGTTGCCTGTGTCAAGCGGCAAATAAATTCACGCAGATCTCGGATTTGGCGAATATGTTTATTGGCCAATCTTTTCTACACTTACAAGTGCAAATATTCACAATTTCAGTATCACAATTGCTGCTTCTGCTGTAGTAAAAGCCAACTGACTACTGACTACTCTTCTACGGTCAAATGCAAACTGAACTGTTCTCGGAAACTTCCAGAATTCAACTGTCTGTCTTAAAATATGCCCTTTGCGGACCGCTTATGGAACACCTTTCTCAACAGTTTGGCTTTCCCGTTGTCATGCAACGCTCCGAACAGTTCGACGCAACAGTGGAAACTCACTGTTAGAATTCCAATGCTGCATTCCGTCCCGCTGTCTGGGGAATGGGATCCGTTGAGAAGCAACGAACGCTGAAATATGCTCCATATTCCGGTTTTTAGGCAGCATGTCACAATATTATTATTGGTACTGATACTAATGCAAATAAGAGTCCATAGTTGTTTTCTAATCCAATCAAAAAGCCTCAGAAAACAACATTCAATGAATTAAGGGCCGTTATTCCCAACACTCTCGCTAGGCATCAACAGAGGCCGTAATACAGACATTGGCCCATTTTCCGATAAATTAATCTGTTCATTTTTCTTTATATCTTTATATCTTTATATCTTCTTTCTTGTACATCAGAATTCTTGTCACTGGAGAAAGAACTATGTACCCTATGAAATAATCTCTCTTACCATCGGTGGTATGCGTACCACACTTGCGAACCACTGCATTAAAGGAATATATCATTATTTCCCTTCTCGGCTAATCTGACGAATGCAGTAAAATCCCGGTAAGAAGACATGTGAAACAAACAAACAAACAAACAAACAAACAAACAAACAATTCGTTGTCGGGAAGTACTCAGATCATGAGAATGCGAAAAGAAAACTGGGCCGATTTCTCTTTGGTAGGTACTGTTTAACACTGGGTAGAATATAGAAAATGAATTTCTTGGAAATAGTAAGAGAAAAATAGCCTAAACGAAATGGGAGAGAAAATTTAAAATGCACAGCCCTCCTTATTGCGCATAGCATGAAATACTGGTTTCTGACTTTCACCGTATACAGTAAACAGCGGGCTCACGATTAATCGGGGACGGATCATATAGGATTTTGTTTAGAAAACTAACTTCTGTGTCAAATGTCAAAAGATACACTTCATGTGAAATTGCTTTTTTTAAAAGGAACAGGCAGAAAACGAATGAAGTTTTATTTAGCTTTTGAATATGCGCTTGGAAACTCGGAAAGTTTTCTGTATTTCGTTTTCTTTCTTATGTTCATAAACGGCACCGAAACTTTTACGAAACCACTCATGTTTTTGCCAATAGCATTCGAGCAAAATGCATCTATGGCTGAATGTGCAGCTTCATAATTCTAAACTCACATATCCCTCTTACTCATTATCCGGGGAAATTCATTTCCCATCAACTCTGTATAATCATGGGCCTGCCGTGGTCGGACTAGCCCTGTGTACTGTGTATTACTGCTTCATTCGCCTGCTTCGGAAGCCAGTATTATTCTGCGTGATCATTTACATGGCGAACGCTGGCTTTATCAGCACCTCTTTCCTCAGACTTGTTACACGTTAATCATACTGTAATATGACGCCTGAAAGCCGGAATAGTGCAGCCAGAGCAGCTGACCTTTTCTAGACAACAGCTCGGTAAACACATTCCCTCTGCAAAGAATAGGCAAGCAACAATCGAAAAACAGCCGTTTCTATGCAATTCCTACTTTGAACAGAGAAACTGTTAGGAAATGGTGTTTTCTGCTGGGGACGACCCGAGGCTATATAACAAGGATTCAAGACCGGCTGAATTAGAATGAGGGAGTCTTGAAATGCCAGTCGAAGATGATGGAGAAGACAGTGTGTCATATAGTGGTTTGTGAAACGTAGTAACAAGTTGCATAAGTGAGCAATAAATCCGGTGATCACTCCAAATTCCGTCTAAAAGTCACGCACACCTCAAAATACGTGACAATACATAATCTAAACTATGGACAGGCAAGTATTTTTTACAAGTAAACCAGGCGAAGCCATTTCATAGCAAGGTGGTGTAAGTTAACGTTGGGTGAACAATTCTGTTGTTTTAAAAACTGCTGATTATTTGCACAGACTTAACAAGCATGACAGATATGCCAAAAAAGACAGGACAAATACTGAGTTTACCCCACTCGTGAAGTTGTCCTTGTGTCTCGGGTAAGTAGAGGTAAAGATCCACACATTCTTAGCCTTGACACCAATTGAGATAATGGGTCAATGTCACGCCCTTGACATTGTACCTTTGAGGTAACACACCTAGGTACACATTCGACAGGAGGCTGTGTCAGCCCCATAGTCTCTGTCAACGTGATATAGAAGACAAAATTCCCTGTCGCTGAAAAGAATCGATCCCCGGTCATCAAACTCTAGTCAGCCACTGCACTGAATACCCACCTGATTCCAGTTTTTTTTTTAACAGAAGATTGTAAAAGTACGCGGTACCGCGAAACTTTCACATCTGCGAAACTCTACGTTGATTAAGAGTTTTATCTTCCGGGATATAACGTCGTGCAGTTCGCTGAAAATCAACCGAAGTTTCAGAGGAATACGTTGCCTCCATCATCAGGGTCGAAGAATAAGCCAGGCAAGAAACCGGCATGAGGCAGGTACCAAGCAGACAGTGGAGGGGACATTTTCTTCCAAAGATTCGGATGACTTTCAACGAACTGCACGGCCTTAAATCCTAAAAGATAGAACTCTTCATAACCATCTTCAAATTCTACATTTATTGTTTATGTTGTTATTCATTTATTTATTTTCGGGATTAAAGGGCTTTATGTGCATTTATGTGCATGTGGATACTCACAGCTCTGTGGTTGCCTCTGGCAAGTGGTCGGGAACCTTGGCCAGATCTTTCTCCTGACAGTCGACGATGCCATCTGCACAACGGCACGGGTGAGGGCACTGGGGCTCACTCAGACACTCGCCAGTCGGGCGCTCCACCAGACCTGAGCACACACAAGGCAGAACACTTCACAGGTACAGGCGTATCCAACAAGTTCATCTTAGTATTCGATGAAACGTTTCAGTAAGTATATAATTAATATGGAAATTCATTAATTAACCATTTAATTACTCATCGGATATCATATAAAGAGGGGAACGTCTTGACCAACTGAAAGATTTGACGAAATACATGGACATATCGAAATAAACAGTGTCGATACAAATCGATTGTGTCGAATCGGTTGATAGAAATCTACCGTTGAGGTTTAAGACAAATATAAGCACCGGTGTCGACTCAAACCGGCAGTTGTGAGGGTGACGTCTCCTTACCCGAACATTTGAATTCTTGGTCGTGTAGGTCCGCCACGTTCTGCCCCTTGAGCTGATTTGGGGAGAAGCATCTCGTGTATAGCCCCAGGCGGGGGGCCCTCCTTAGCCAGCGCGCCAGCCAAGACAAGTGACAGTCGCAGTTCAGATTATTGTCAGAGAGGCGAAGAGTGCGCAGTCGGAACATGTTCTCGAACATGCTCTTTCCCAGTGACGTCAGGTTGTTGTTGTTCAGCGTCCTGAAACACAGAATCGGCGATTAGTAACTCATTATCGCGCAGTAATGCAGATATTCGATACGAAAATTATGAGCAGGCAAATCTTGGTTGATAAATGTATAAGTACGTGTAGAATCCGAGATGTTGATATTAAATTTTTCTTACTGAACAGTGATCTAAAACAAGGAGATGCTTTATCGCCACTTCTTTCCAAATTTGCCTAAGAATATGAAATTATGAAGATCCAGGGAAACCAGGTGGGACTGAAATTAAATGGAACACATCAGCTGTTGGTCTACGCCGATGATGTGAATTTACTGGGTGATAATGTAGATACCATAAAGAAGAACACACAAACTTGAATTGACGCAAGTAAAGAGGTTGGTCTAGAAGTAAACACAGAGAAAACTAAGTAGATGTTACTGTCTCGTCACCAAAATGCAGGGCAAAATCATGAACAAAATCGAACAGCCTCAACTGAACGCAACAAGAAAAGAGTGGATGAGATCATTGAAGATGACAGGCGTGTGACTGTGGACACAATAGCCCGAAAACTTGATATAGGGCACAGTGCAGTACAGGAGATGATTGAAAGCTTGGGCTATAAGAAATTTTGTGCTCGTTGGGTCCCGCGATTATTGACCGAAGACCACAAAGGTCAACGTAAAGCCATCACCTCAGAACTGCTGCAGAGATATCGACACGATGGCGATGATTTTTTGCTCTGTTTTGTGACAGGTGACGAAAGCTGGTTTCACCATTTCGAGCCTGAAACGAAACGGCAGAGTATGGAATGACACCATTTGCATTCTCCATCAAAAAAGAAGGCAAAGACAGTGCCATCAGCTGCGAAGGTGAAGGGCACAGTCTTCTGGGATGCAGAGGGTTTTATTCTGGCCGAATTCCTGGAACCTGGGAAAACCATCAATGCTGCTCGTTATGTCTAGACGCTGCACAAGCTCCGTCGTGTATTGCGCGATAAACGTCCGGGACGAAACATCATCATCCTGCAGGACAACGCTCGACCCCACGCCGGTCGCCTCACATTGGAAGCAATTGCAAAGATGTGGTGGGAAGTTCTTCCACACCCCTCCTATAGCCCTGATCTGGCACCCTCCGACTACCATATTTTCGGATTTGTGAAGGATCAGCTGCGTGGACAACGTTTTGAGACAAAGGAGGCAATTCAGAAATCAGTGCTTCAATGTCTTCGAATGGCTGATAAGGAATTTTACAGAAGGGGAATTTTCAAACTCCCAGAACGATAGGAGAAATGTGTACAAAGAAGTGGCAATTATGTGGAAAAATAAAGAACGGTCTGTAGATTGAGGTGGTGTATTTGGTTTGTCAATAACAAAGCATGTTATTTTACAAAAAATTGTTGCTCATGACTTTCAGTACGACCCTCGTACGTGTATTTGTCATTATCAACCTTGCACTGCACGAGTTCTATTCCCAGAGCATCAGCTCTCAATGGTAATCCCTCTTCTACTCTTTTGTTTATAGTCTACTGTGTTTATTTTTTGTAAAGAATAACTTATTTATTCATTTCGGCTTCTCTTACTGTAATACACCTTCCAAAATCCCTTACACCTGCTACATTGCTATAAATTACACGAATCTGTTCTCCTTACGAAAGAACTTTTCTTACTTTTCCTAATATTCCTACTGAATACATCAGTTATTACTGGATATATCCAGGATTCCATAAAATTACAGGTTCGGGAAGGAGGGGCTTTGGGTTGGATTACTGTGTGCCAGAATTCCGATGCGTGCAGTAGCCCAGAAGTTAACTTTTTAAGATCATCTATCACTAAGACGGAACGGTGGGAGGAGTGGAAGGAAAGGTGAAGAGGGAAAGAAGGAAAGAAATTTATCAACCTCGGGAATCTGAAAGGAGATAAATGATACGAGATAGATAGGTCCGGCGGACAGAGGATGTTTGTTCCCGCTTTGTCTACAGACATGGAGCGACGCACGAGTGGGGGTGGGGGTGCCTCAGAAGTAACATATTTCCATAATACGTCTACCTGAGACAGGATGAGCCATAAACTAGACAAGTATAAGGAGCCTTTCCTCTTATAAAGTGCTGAAGACGGGTTTACGTGTCATTACTTCGGTGGTTTCTCGTCTCAGATAATAGGCCATAACTTGATCGCATCCTCCACACTCAACATTTGTAAATAATCCGACACAAGAGGAAGGAAGGAAGGAAGGAAGGAAGTTCACTAGATAAAATGAAAGCCTTACTTACTTAAAAAAAAACACAGTCATCTCAATAGAAACAACAGCCACATCTGCAACCTACATCACAAATTACGTATGCCTAACAAAACCATTTACTTCATTATCTGGGCCGCGCTATAGTTCAAGCGGTTAGTCGCTGGCTTCCCACCGCGGCTACTCGGGTTTGATCCCTGGTCTGGTCAAGTGGGATTTGTGGTGGACAAAGTGGAGCTGGGGCAGGTTTTCTCCGAGTACTTCGGTTTTCCCTGCCAATCTTCATTCCACCAATTGTTCCACAATCACCCTCACTTATCATGTGGGGCTGGTACAATAGGTCAGAAGTGGCCGCAGTACAAGGGACTTAGTCCCACCCCACTAGCAATAAAAAAATACTTCATTATCACATTTTCGATACGTATTGTGACGCATATATCCTTTGCTAGGCAACGACTCGGTAAACAAACCCGCAACAAATACGGAACCAAAAACAGAGCGCGTCCATTGCTAGGCAATGGACGTGTTTTCTATGGATCCGCCTCGAGGGTATATAAGTAGTACAGAATACTGTCGCAGGATGGAATGGAGCGAGTCCTAGGCAGTGAAGAAAGAAGGGTTCGGCTAAGATTTACTGTGAATTAATGTAATTTATTGCGATTACGAGTGATTGTAAAAAGCGTAATCAATAAATCCAATTACCAATCCAAACACCGTATTATTAGTCAGGCTCAAAAATCTTGAGTGTATGGACTGGACTGATCTGGTTCGAAATAGAAAAAGGTAGAGGGCTCTTGTGAACACAGTAATGAAACATTCGGTTCCACAAAATGTTGGGAAAATCTTCAGTGGCTGAGCAGCTGGCGGGTTCTCAAGAAGGGCTGAGCAATAAGAAGTTGGTTATTTATACATTTCCGATAGTATGAATTAATGCTTTACTTAATTGCACATCACTCTTGCATAAATCATATTTCATCCTTTATACTGAACAACAGCAACACTTAGGATCCATTATTGATGCAAGCTGGGTAGGTGATGATACACATAAATAGGTAGAGGGATTAGAATTTAATGGTTAGATTTTGACATGTGCACATCAGTAGAAAATGAGAGGACAACGTCGAGGTGTTGGGTTTTAACATAAGATCTGAGGGTTCCACACCGATAAGACTCATATTAAGGTAAGGTAAAAAGGTAAAGCTCTTCCTGTAACATGCCGTGGAGGCCCATAGGGTTGTGAGAGGTCGAGGCTCCCACATTTTCTAAACAATCGGCTCACAGACGGCGGTGAGGTTGTCAGCCTTACGCGCCGGCCGCCCTTTACGCCCAGGAAGATTCCTGGTACTTATTTCTGTTAGAGGCTGAGTCGACCCCAGGGCCACAGTGCAGCTGCAAGGTCAACTGAAAAATGCACCCTATCGGGACTCGAACCCACGACCTTCAGGCTTGTAGAATAGTGTCTCAACCAGCTATGTTATCGCGTGCCCCCTTCATATCAAGGTCGGTCTTCCGGATTAACTGAGAAGACCAGAAAACGAAAGATTTTTATGGGTAAGTATTTTATGTCAGATCGGCTCTGCCGAGATGCAAAGCCTTGTGAACCAAAATGTAATTCTTTTATACGAATGTTTGTTAATAGCTTAAATGACGGAAGTTAACGGACCGACCAACTCCTCAGAGGAGAGCACTTCTTAATAAACTAACAGTCGCTTAGTGAACTACGAAATCCTCCGAGTTTTGTGGAATGCCCATTGCCGTGTTCACAAGCGCCCGCCGCTGGCTAGTGCCAGATGAATCAAGTACATAATATTTATCTGAAGTCCATTTTAATACTTTTTATTGCTAGTGGGGTGGGACTAAGTCCCTTGTGCTGCGGACAATTCTGGCCTATTGTACCAGCCCCAGATGATAGGTGAGGGTGACTGTGGAGCAATTGATGGAATGAGGATTGGCAGGGGAAACCGAAGTACTCGGAGAAAACCTGCCCCAGCGCCACTTTGTCCACCACAAATCCCACTTGACAAACCCGGGATTGAACCCGGGCCGCCGCGGTGAGAAGCCAGCGACTAACCGCTTGAGCTATGGTGTGGCCCATTTTAATACTTAGTTTGAGATCTACTAAGTTATGACTAGGGAGCGCATTTTTATGCTCTAGTGATCCCTTAAATATGTGTGCATTTACGCATGAAAAACTTCCAAAATATGCATATAAAAAGTTCATACCAAATATTAAAATTAATTTTACATTATTCTACGACCAACAAATCAACATTTTAAGTTAATTTTACGTAATCACTGAATGATTCACTTGCAATGAAAAGCTATACTTAATGCCATTTGGCCACAGTAAATTCATGGAAACAATAAAAATTCGAAAACTGCAGAGCTGTTTGTGGTTTCAAGTCCCTTATAGTATTGTGTTTCGTAGATTGATACCCACATAAAATTATCTTGAATCTTATCTCTAATGTTTTCAATTGTAAGATCGCAACACTGCTTCACGTAATTTTTGCGCACAGTACGTAAGATTGATCCGGCATTTTGCACTGTGTGAAGTTTCTCAGGGTAGGAAAGCTTAGTTTCCACAGTGGAATATCTTCCGCTAAAAAGATTTCGCACACGTCAAAGGAGAACTGTGAAAAAATAAGAAAGGTAGAGCTCTCCCTGTAACAGGCCGTGAAGGCCCATATGTTTGTGAGACGTCGAGGCTCCCACATTTTCTAGACAATCGACTCACAGACGGCGGTGAGGATGTCAGCCTTACGCGCCGGTCGCCCTTTCGGCCCAGGAAGATTCGTGGTACTCATTTCTGTTAGAGGCTGAGTCGGCCCTATGGCTATAGTGTGGCTGGAACGATTAGGTCAATTGCAAAAATCCAATGATCTCACTGGGACTTGAACCCGCGACCTTCCGGCTTGTAGCATAGTGCCTCAACCAACCATGCTACCGCGTGTTCCCCCCTCCCCAGTAATAAGTGTATCAAGATTAATTTAAAGAATTAATGCTGATTACAAAGATATTAGGTTACATGTGATAGGTATTTTCGAATTATTTCGGCCAAAAGCCTTGCCTACATGCTCTAATCTTTCTCCCAGCCTCGTGGTGCCCGGCGATGCTGAATCGCTTTAATATTAAAAACACAAGGGCAAACATACTGTTACGTAAGTTGACCACCGGGTGAAATATGTATAGCCCGTATCGTGTTGCTGAATTTTACGTTGTTTCACTGGTAGTAGTATCTCCCGCATTAATACTCATGAGGAGGCTGGAATAGCAGAAATACGTCTGATTCGTATTGAGGAGGTAACGGGTTTGAATCTGAGCAGGACAACGGGTGTTCTTATTAAAGATATCAGCGTTTCTCCTCGGTCATTTCAGATGATTTCTGAGATAGTACAGTGAGATGCGTCACAACGCCGTATCTCCGATCCTTTCCAGTTAATCTTACAAATCACTTTCTCATGTTATTTGACGGTATAAGTTATGACAGCATCCTTAACTATTTCCATGCGTTTTTATATGAAGAGACATGTTTCGCGAAAGAATTTCCATAGACACGTGTAATCTGTATGGTTGTTACGCCAGGAATGTTAAATGTTTTTTCGCTGATCTTGAACTCCTTTCAAATGAAGATCCGAAGGTTCAGCGTTTCCAAGTGGGCGTGTTAATATGGAAAGGGCTAATTAACGTAAAGATAAAAAGCAAATTTGTTCCTATGCCTAACTAATTAACCATCACTCCATGCAGACAAACATGAAGGCATAGCTCCATTTAGTCTTAGCCTCGGTGCTGGATGGAAGCGAGTGGTCAGGTTCATGCAACGGCCGTTTTAACCCTGGAGAAATAACTCCCAGTACCCATTGAACAGGGGCCTAGGTGGAGCCCAGATTTAGTGCGGATGCTGTGGAAAAAGAGAATAACTCTTGCCCCTACCGGGAATCGAAACCCGATTTCTCGGCCGTTCAGCCCACAATCTGTTGCTACACAAATTAAGTTGTCCCGATTCCCTTAAGGAACGTACGAAGAGATTTAAGAAAATAGAAATCTTATAAATTCCATATTGCACCTTCTAAAGTTATACTAGGCCTGTTTACTGAAGAAATATCTTCCTTCAGCTTGGGACATGAACTTTTAGCTTCACAGGTTCTTGTTTCAAGGAGAGGGGAATACGCAGTGACGAATGATCCGTCGAAGGCTAAGCCTCCCGCCCCTTCCCATTGCACAGTCGGACACGTCTTCTGTTTCTAAATTTGTCAGAGATTTGGGACAGGCAATACTGACCAGTGACGAATGACCTGTCGCTACAGAAATGACAAGCGAACCCACATACATACTTTCCGGCTTCCTTCCCTGGACTGCTTAGCCTGAGGGCTGTTCCACTCCACAACAATGTATCTTCTGAGCGGTACGCACAGATGTCGTCCTTTTATTCTTCGCTGAAGAGAAATTTGTGAGACTCTATTATTGCCAATTCGCAACAGCCCCCCCCCCACATTTTACCCCAATTTAAATAACCACTGCAAATAATATTTGTATATTCCTTGGGATAAAGGGCGGCTGGCACGTAAGGCTGACAACGTTACTGCCATATGTGAATTGTCTACAAAACGTGGGAGCCTTGATGTCTCACAACCCTATGGGCTTCCACAGCCTGTTACAGGAACAGTTTTTTTTTTTACCTTTTAAGAAATAAACATTTAGCTCCTATGTCTTCCGTCTTTATTTTATCGAATTTGGTAAGGTAAAGTTGTTCCTGCCGGTCACGGTAGCCGAGCGGTCTAAGGCATGCACTGTCTTCGCTCGCTCGGAAGCCGGGATCGTGGGTTCGAATCCCACTCAGGGCATGGATGTTTGTGTGCGTTTTTCTGTGTTTGTGTACAGGTAGAGGCCTTGCGACGAGCTGATCACTCGCCCAAGGAGTCTTACCGTATGTCTAAGATCTAGAAAAACCGAAGTGAACGGAGTTCATGGAGGTAGGCCTAGGCCCACTGGGGCTGTCGTGCCAAAGAAAAAAAAAGTTGTTCCTTTGCTTAATTAATTAAGCATCATGCCATGAAAATACGCGGAAGAGCAGAGGTATTGCTTCACCATTCTTGACCTTGGCAATAGATGAAGATGAGTGGCCAGCTTCACAGCCCGGCCGCTTCACCACCGGTACCCGCTATATAGGAGGCTTGGTGGGTCTCACATCCGGTCTGGACGCTGTGGACTAGAGAGAGATCTCTTGACGTAGCAACGGACATATTCATAACCAGGTCAGGCCAAGGCCTATGGGAAGAAGGTGGTCAGGGGGATGTGCCATTCAGAGACACGACCTCCGCGCCACCAACAGGGAAGATTTAAACATGGACACTCTCAACAGACACAATGTGCGCCACCTCTGTGAATGTACCAGAACTAACGTTCACTGGTACTTTTGCCCAGAGTAGGTAAGATTTATCAAATCGCAGAGAATAAGATGGTTGGGATATGCCGAAAGAATGGAATATAATGGTGTGCCAAAGAGAATGTTAAAAGGAAGGCAATATTCCAGACGGAGAAAAGGAAGACCCAGGATGAGATGACTAGACGATCTTGAGAACGACCTGAAGAAGATGAAGGTATAAGGATAGATAGAGAAAATGAGGAATAGAGAGCAGTGGAGACTGGTTGTAGAGGAGGCCAAGGCTCACCCAGGGCAGTAGGGCCGAGTGGTAGGTAGATAGGTCTCATATAAGCGTTTATGATGCTATACTCACAAGACTTCCAAGTCGGAGAGTCCGCGGACTGCAGACTCGTCGATACACGTCAGCCTGTTGTTGTCAAGCTGCCTGCAAAAACAGAAAAAACGGCGTCAGACCTAAGAAATCAAGGAACAAAACCAGACCTTAACAAGTATCACAAAAAGTAACATTCCTCTAAACTTTTCTGTCTGCAACGCCAGGAACAGAGGCTGCTTATCTTTCAACGAGCTATTACCATGCAAATGGTACCAGTGTCATTCCCACCTCAGAAATTAGAACGACAGTAATGTTGGTATTATTAATGGTTGTAAATTAGGAATTATACAGTGAAGTGGGATCTAATGTTATGATATCCTTACATTTGTTAATGAAAATCCATCAACAGAATGAAAAGTTAACACGAGCGACACCCATGCCTGACTTCTCTTTTCAAGTGAGAAATGTAAGCTAAAACATACATTTTAAAACCACAGGCATGTGGATTTCTAAAGTAACAAGGATGCTCATTACCTGATCTGACTCGGGATAGACTATTAAGGCGAGGTGCATCTCCAGCTGCATGATGTGGCCGCTCTTGTCATGCCGGAAAGAGTTAAAGCATCCTTTAGACAGAAAACGAAACTATCCCGGGTCGTCCTGCACGCGGAGGTGAAGATAAAACTCTAAACGTCCTTGTCGGAAATGGAACTCAGCTCTTCCCTTTCGTTACATATCTCAACTTGGCTACATACATGAATCCGTCAAGAGATGGCCTTTCTCCAAAGCGCTGTTACAATCCCTGCGTCTTCAGAAGTTTCCGCTTACCCGAGTGAAGCGAGACGGATATCCGAGGGCAGCCATTTTGGAAGTAAAAGGAAGCGTAATATCTGATTTATCTGCGGTTTGAACGCTGTAGAGCCGACGGACTTACATGAAGGTGGCAAAGCCTCGCCGGGATGTCCCTGAGAGCCGGTTACGCGATATACTTGTCCATCGCACTGTCAGACGCAAATACAAATAAAATAACGAAGGAGAAAATTCAACAGACTCCCCTGCGTTGGGGAGAAATGGCTGAGAAGCGATTTTTATTTCAAAAGAATTCTTCAGTTCTTTTGCATGATTCTACTTCTGTAAGGAGCAAAATGTAGCTCTTCATCGTTCAATATTCCTGCAATTTAATCAACAAAAAGAGAAAGAAAGAGAGAGACGGTTTCTTTGCTTTCAATGGAGGTTGCGATTCAAAGAAACTGCGTTGGGGCGAAGGGTACATTATGCCGTTCCTCCGCCCTCTTCCTCTTCCAATCCGCCCTTTATATCGTTCGCCGCAGAGAGGAAAGAACTGTATTCAAATGAGTAATATAGTCATACAGCATCTGCTAACCGCGGAAGAAAATAATTTTCACTCCCGTTCTCATTTTACCCACAAATTAATGACTGATGGACTGAAAAATTGCTAGGAACAAAGGCGGGCACTTCGTACCACTTTTGTGGGTTCTGAGACGAAAAGAAATTTTGAACTGTCACTAACTGAATTGCGTACGACATTAGAAACATCAAGCGAACATGCGTATAATGGTTAGCACTCCATCTCGGGTGCAATTCTTGATCCAGAGTTCGGCAATCTTGCCCGAAGACGCATTATTCATTTCTCACTATTTAAAGTTTATTTAATAACGCTTTCAATAGCTCCGATTATATACCACAGCTCGGAATGACATAATAAACAGCAAGTGGAAAGGATTTGGAAGGAGAAGCCTCGGATAATTTGAGGTATTATCCTAACCTTTGCCTGGAAGCACTGAGAAATCCCACGAAAAATAATTTTCAGCATATATATTCTTCTAGCCGAAATCTGGACTTTTAACATAATGTGACGTACAGATCCACTGCTAGGAAACGACTCAGTAAACACATTTCCGCCGGAAGCGTAGGCGCGCAACAATAGAACGTCCATTGCTAGGCAATACAGAGGCCATGTTTTCCGAGTGGTCCGTGCCGAGGGTTTATAAACGTATAAAGAAGGTCGTTTGAGTTAATCCGGTGTGGAGGCGGGATTCAATACCTCCACCGTGACCCTGCGAGTCGTAGGAGGCGACGAAAAGGAAAGTATCAAATCTGAGACAGTAACATATGGCCGCGAGTCCCAAGGGACTCAGACCCGAGAAAGACTGCGCTGGCAAGGGCCAGCAGCATATACAAAAGAGAGACCCGTCCTCTCGTTAGAGAGGGCGCCCCACAGAAACAAGACCGTAACTGTTAAACTGTAATAATTAATATCTGGTCATGAGCCCCAGATGGGGTTCTACACCAAGACTTACTAACTGACTGACCGTCAGTCGCAATGTGACTTTGACTTTTACGTTTGAGTTAGTTGTTGAGAATTAGGCCCAGTTCTGGAGAGGGCAGTCAAAGCGACTGAGAAGGAATGGCAAGAAATGAATTAGACTGTGCAAAGACGACTTCATGTGTAATTTAATTTGCAGTCAGACGGTTATGAATCTGTTGGCAGGAGACGACTAGTGAAGACTGAGAATCCTAGTGCGTGTGAAACTGTGAACTGTAAAGTGTGTAAATCAGCAACAGTCCTGTATTACCTGTAGTCCCGAGCTGTGAATGTATAAGGTCTTAACATATCGAAATCACCCAATCCAAAATCCGTCCTATATAAGTCACGTACAAACCCCTAAATCGTGACAACACACGTGCACCTAAAACACTAAGCAGGAATTCTAACCGACCAAGATATTTATTTGGCACTTCTGTAGTTTTTCCATGAAAATGCCTGGGTAATTGGCTAACCCTGAAATAGGACACGACCAAATCTTCTAATTCGATATTCATCCCATTCCTAAATCATCCTATAATATTGTAACGTGCTATCTTACGGTCTTCTCGCATAGCCAGCAGGAGTTCCACTATTTGTTGTGACTCCATTCTTCTTTGTTCTATATTGTAATAATACGCTATGTAACCAAGCGTCGTTAAGCATACCAGTAATCAACCAACTGTAAAGTTCAGAATACAGGAAAAGCAAGGACACAAACATTAGAGGACAGACATGTAGGACTCCTGCTCTTATACAGCTGGGTTTATTTGACTCGACATTAGTCTGTCAGCGCCTGCTCACGCTGGTTCCTGGCTCGCGGATTTTATTTTTTCTTCTACCCTGAAGATGGAGGAGATACGTTCCTCCGAAATGTCGGTTAACACAATATCTACACGGCGCCACATCCCAGAACACGGCTTTCTTCATAGTCAACGGCGTGAAAATCTCAAATCTTACATGTAGGACTTATTCACGACTTTACTCAATGACGCGTTTTCAGCTTCATAGATTAGCCTATGGGCTTCTCAATAAAGTGAGTGACTTATTTCCGTCACACGGCTCATGATTTACCCTGTATGTCTAACTATCTCTTGCTGATGTCAACTAATACAACATCTTTCCAAACAATTCCGGAAAGTGCCTGAAAGCGTATTTAGACGGAATGCAATTTACATATCCCTAAAAACGCAAATTTAATGTTTAATTCGAACTGTGTAAGCAGAGAACTTCAGCAGCCACTTTAAAAATGAATGCTATGATATGGACTGGATTTATTAGCACCTCGGTTATAAGTTCTCACACTTAAATACAGCGATATCTTCATCAGGTGTATACTCTCACGTAGCTGCTACACTGCACGTAGTTTAAAATTAAAAAAAAAAAACACTAGTCTTCCCAATTGTTCATTTCTCCATTGCTAACAGGTTTCGATATATCAGAATCCTCCCCGCTGATACCTGTCAGATATGTACAAAATCTTTGTAAACTGCCATTGGACCAATTTTGTCACTACACTCACTTCTCTTATAAGCACTCTGCATAGACTCCACGGATAACGCCGTCTCTATTGTTTCTGACGACACCGCTTAAGCACAAGTGTGCTTACCCGGCCGTTGCTTAGAAACGGGTTGCATAACCCTGTTGTTCCACCGCTGCTCGGAGCGGACGACATAGAAAACATAGCCTCATCTATTGTTGCGTGTTGGACCATGTTTACAGAGCTGTTGCCTGGCACAGCGTTGATCAAAACTGTTACAATTTTTTCTTATTCTGGTATGTGCCAAAATTTGTCCGCATTTTCCCGTTAAACTCTTTATATTATATTTATTTTATTATAGACAGCACTGCTTTTCTTCTGGCATAACTTACACGCTACTCCTAAAACCGCATCTGCGATTCATGAAGCTTCCTATCCAATGGGCAACTGAGACTCTAACCCCAAGGAACAAAGCGAGCGAAACGTGAGAGGACAACTGAACTACATCTAGCGCCGGAGTCAAGAATGCATGGACTTTCACCTCCACGTCACAAAATACGCCTTTATAGAGTCTGTTTAGCCTCACAAAGGATTCCAGGAACTGTTGGAACAGTACTGCAAATGTGTCACTGACACGCCTTTCTTGATCCTTCTCAACTCGCTAATCATTAACTTCCATATCTCTGACGGTAGTACAGAGGCCTGACCTTCGTGTTTGCCAATCGAAAAATCTGAATAGTATATAATACATGAGCCGGTCACGGTAGCCGAGCGGTCTAAGGCATGTACTGTCTTCGCTCGCTTGGAAACCGGGATCGTGGGTTCGAATCCCAAACAGAGCATGGCTGTTTAGTTTGTGTGTGTGTGCGTTTTTCTGTTTGTGTACAGGTAGAGGCCTTGCGACGAGCTGATCACCCGCCCAGGGAGTCCTACCGAATGTGTAAGAGTTACAAAAACCGAAGTCAACGGAGAAGTTCATGGATGTAGTAGGCCTAGGCCAACTGGGGCTGTAGTGCCAAGGAAAAAATAAATAAATAAATGATGGCATATGATTATGCTTGTGTTATCTGTCTACGTCTGTGTGCGATGTCATAAAATAAATTCGCTTAGTGGGGGGTAGAGTCCAACTGGGTCCAATCGGCACGGCGGCTATTGATTGGTCTATTGTAGCCTGCCCCGAGTAATTATAATGATGGAGAATTTGGTTGAATGAAGATTGGCAGGGGAAACCGAAGTACTCGGAGAAAACCCGCCACAGCGCCACTTTATCCACCACAAATCCCACTTGACCAGACACGGGATTGAACCCGGGACGCCGCGGTGGGAAGCCAGCGACTAACCGCTGGAGCTATGGCGCGGCCTCTGCTGTGTCATTCTCAGGTTGTAATTGTGTTCACGTACTGACGCAAGTATCAGCCCTAAGTTCGTAACTGTGCCATCAGAACAGTAAAGATGTAACCTGGTTGACTGTCTCAAAGGAGAAAGAAGCGAAGATATGTAAGATAGACATGAAAGGGATACCAGAAAGGAAGATAGACAGTAAAAGATGGAGACACCAAATAAATTACTCATTGAATTTGAAAGGGCTCTTCATATAAAGACAATGTATTGCGATCATATCTGTACTTACAAATTCTTGAGTGCCGGAATTCCTGCGAGGGTTTTCCGACCGACCATTTCCAACTGGTTGTGGCTGATATCCCTGCAATGAAAAGAAAAAGAGGTATTAGTGGACACGCCTGCACACAAAACTGTCGGGAGAAGTGCACAGGAAGTTCCAGAGCATGGCGCCTGGCAGCAGGCGTTGCATTTCCATGCACAGAAGAAGGAGAACAAGGGGCAACCGATGGACAAACTGGGAATACCAAGGCAGAAGAAGGGCAGAATTATAAGAGAGGGAGGAGAGAGAATTGGAGTGAGAATAAAACCGCAGAAAAAGGAGGAGGAAGCGGACAAGCGGAAATAAGCATAAGACGAGATTAAGGAACTCGAGAAGTAGTAGTAGTGCAGAAAGTAATGAGAAAGCAGAAACTGAGATAGGGAAAAAAATAAAGCAGGGCCGGAGAAGGAGATGAAGCCTAAGTTGTAGAGGAGAGAAAAATAAATCGAAAGAAAAGAAGAATGCGACTAAGAATATTAAGAGAGAAAGAATAACCCGGAAGGGTGACAGAGAATGCGAATTGAGCGGAAATGAAAGGGAGATGTGGAAAAAATAGGGAAACGGGTGAAAGAGGGATAGGTACAGAATTAATAACATTAGGACAAAGACAATGGATCGCCTATGTGGTCTAGTGGCCAGAGTTCCTGGCTACAGATCCAGATGTCTGGGTTCGATTCCCGGCGCTACCAGATTTTTCGAGAAGTAGTGGGTCTGGAACGGGGTCCACTCAGCCTCGTGAGGACAGTTGAGGAGCTATTTCAAGGAAATAACGACTCCGGTCTAGAAAACCGAAATTACCAGCCGTGGGGATTCGTTGCGCTGACTGCGCGACACCTCTATCAGCAAAAGTTGGCACTGACTTCGCCGACAAGCGGCTGTCGCTCGGCCTGTATAGTTCGCTTGCGGACTACAAGCCCCGGAGTTTTTGTAGGACAATGATAATTATTTTACAACAGCAGACTGGAACAGAATACGACATATGGTCTGGTAGAAGTTCGCAGGCGTTTCGGTCCACGTGTTTTCTCCATCACAGAACGTACCGAGTTCCTACCCTTGGCTGTATAGACAGCGCGTTTTGCGACACCCGCCTCCTCTCTGCGTACTAAGCTTTTTCTCCAAACCTGAAGATGGAAGCAGCACATTCTCCTTTAGCGTCGGTTAACTTCTACCAGACTACACGTCGTGACATCTCAGAATCACTGCCGTAAGAACATCACATCTCAAATATTGAACAGATCCAATAATTGTTATGCAATGGTGTGACCTCTATTTCTCCTTGCCTTTATGATATACATGCTTCTCTTTGTACTAAGTGCATAAGATTTAGAATAACTGGGACGTCTCTACGACCGTCCGCTTGCTTAATCTATTAAACTACCGAGAGAAGTAGAATTGAGGTGATATTTGGTGTCCTATATCTACATCAAAATTCGTGAGATAAATTTAATTCCGGTCCATATGGGTCCAATATACGAGGGGGTACCCAAAAGAAACCGAACTTATTTTTTTTAAACTTATTTATCCAAATTTTAAGCACAAACCTTCAATCCCCTTCAAAGTACTCTCCACTTACACTAATACACTTGTCTAGTGTTTTATTCCATTTTTCAAAACATTATCCAAACTCATCTTTTGAGATACTTGACAGCGCCTCCGTCATTTTTTTTCTTTCACCTCAGCAACATCAGCAAAACGCTGAAAAAAAAATTTGATCATTTCGGGACTCTTCTTTCAAAGCACAGCATGCTTCCACGCGACCTTGTTTTTGTTCAGCAGTCAGCAGTCGTGGCACGAATTTCGCAGCCACCCTTTTCATTCCCAAATCTTCTGTCAAAATTCGCTGAACTGAACTCCAAGTCACTCCCGACAGCTCCACAATTTATTCAATGGTCCGTCGTCGATCTTCCTTGATGATTTCACGAATTTTTTCAACATTTTCATGTGTTCGGGCCATTGCAAAAACGACGATCACACAAAACAGTTGTCACTATAAACTCTGCCGAAAGTAGTCCTTACCTTCTGAAGCAACGGTAGTTGGCTTATCGACTCAGGAATGTTAGCTCTTTGCGCTCATAGCGGCAAAACGCGGTACTACAAAAGCTCTTCCCACAAAAAAAAATTAGTTCGGTTTCTTTTGGGTACCCCATCGTATCAGGGTTCCAGCATAACTTTGTAATTTTCCCCCCGAAATGGTTCGACGTATACAAATGTTTGTACGACATAAAATACAGAACTAATTATTAGCCGGGAAAACACAGTCAGTATAGCGACTGGCTACGGGCTGGAAGAAGGGTCGGAATTCGAGTGTCGGTAGCGGCAAAATTTTTCTATTCTTCATGTCATCCAGACCTGTTCTGGGGTTCACCAAGCCTCATATCCGGTGGGTACCGGAAGCTCTTTCCACGTGGATAAAGTGTCCGGGAAGTGAAGCTGACCACTCACCTACATCTAGGGTCTAGATCAAGAATACGTGGATCTATACATCCAATTCCCCATACGTCTTCATGGCGTTGTGCTTAATTAGTGATGCACAGGGCCAACTTTATCTTTATCTTTACTTTTAGAAGTTATGAATATTTAAGGAAATACAAGTAAAATTAATTTATAGCTACAAAGTGCGGCAATGGCAAGTGCTTTGTGATAAGCTTGAAAGAAATGGTTTTGTGTGTGTTCAATAAACGGCACGTCAAGGTTAGCGAGGAACGTAAAATTTCACCGAACTGGTTTCGAAAATATCGTATTTCTATGATCTTTCTCTAGAAACGGTACCATTCGAGACTTGGCAACAAACTAGCGCTGTAATACAACCAATCCGCGTAATTGAAGCTCTAGATCGCACTAAGTGGAGGAACTGTTTTGGAAGAGACTGTGGACCTATCGTCTGACAGATTACTGATGAATGAATGAATTGATCTTGCTCAGAACTACATTTTTCAACCACAGGGTTCACGAAAAGTGCCACACTTTACTTTCTCAGTTGTATGCCTCTGCACGCCGACTTCTATAATCACATGAGCAAACATTACGCCAAAATCTCCCCCTTGAAGGCATTTTTCTTCATTTCTTATTGCCAGTGTCTGCTAATGCCCCAAGTTGGTCCAGGTAATAAATTCAACCCCTACGCAACAGAGCGCGCCAAGGGAGGTCGTAAATTAATTTCTAGTTCCCCTGCCACAAACATCTCCTTGGCCCTCTCAATAACGGTGACATTACATGCGGGCCGGAGTGAACCAAAGACTTCTCTCGGAAATAAAGCAACACAACTAATGGCCGTGTCTATTGTTTGTTTGCCTATTTACTGGGAGGTGTGGTTCCTAAAATAGGGCAGCGCCCAACGGCTTCAACTGTCTAGAGTTTCCGTCCTGACACTCACCTGGCAGAGTGTGTGTATTAAAAGTAGAAAGGTGTACTCAGAAATCACGCGGTTTTTAGGTACCTCCTTTCCAACTCTGAATCCCTCACTGGTCTGCCTCCTTATTCACTGCAGATACAAATCGATATAGACCCCAACAGAATGGGGAAGTGCTCTCCAAAAGAGTAGGCTTGCATGTATTATTCAAACGAGTTATTTTTAGAATTCTCATATCTCTTGAAATATTGATTTATTCCCGACTTATTCAACGTTCTCTTAACTGTGTAGATTGTAAACGTCGAATTATAAGGAACCGAATCTTACGCAGAATAAGTCGTTTATGAATGTTAAGGTACTAGGAGGTGCTGAGGAAGACCATGAAAGAACCCACTCAAGATGGCTGTTGCCCTGGCAGAGATTCGTACCCGGAACCTTAAGAATACAAAACATTACACTCCCTCATTTTATATCTTATTATAATAATGTATATATCTTGAGGTTATAAATAAATTGTTTTCGTCTCCTTCGTCTATCAGGCATCAGGTGACTGAGGGTTGGTCCTGGGCTGCCAGCCTCAATGGTGATCCCTCTTCTGCTTTCATGTAGCATAAATTTAAGGGTAAATATTATTCATATTCCAGCTTAGTTTTGTTTATATTTCTTATCTGTCGTCTTCTGTATCAGTGCCAGTATATTTGCCACCCGCTGTAGCAATTATTTCCCGTTCCTAATGGTATCAATTAAACTCCAAGTAATCGCCCTTTGTAAAATAAAGCAAGCAAAAGACAGTTTTGCAATTTATCTTACTGATAAGGAACTTGTCGACGCTTCTAGCATTACAGAGGCGGCGTTGGGTGGGACGGCTGGGTGCGAAGTACATATAATCTCATGGGACTAGGGGGGAGGGACCATTAAGCTGCGCCCAAGCCCCCCCTAACGTCTTTACATTAGTACGTCTTACACGTATTATCCTGAACCCTGAAAGCTAATAATGGATGACGTCGAGCAATTTCGTACAATTCTACTGTTGAGAAAAGTGAGAAGTTCCCTTGCTTGTATTTCATTAAATATCAACTACTCGTATATTGAAACGGTCGGGGTGCGCAGTAGCGTAGATGGTTGAGGCACTATGCTACAAGCCGGGAGGTAGCGGGTTCAAGTCCCGATGAGGTCACTGGATTTTTTCAATTGACCTAATCCTGGCCCTGAGGTCGGCTCAGCCTCTAACGGAAATAAGTACGAGGAATATTCTTGGGGGGGGGGGTAAAGGGCGGCCGGCGCGTAGGGCTGACAACCTTACCGTCATCTATGAGCCGACTGTCTAGAAAATGTGGGAACCCCAACACCTCACAACCCTATGAGCCGGCCTGTTATAGGGATACCTTCACTTTACTTTACTGAAAGGTCAAACAAAATTTTTAAACCTTAAAATTTTTAGTTGGTTATTTACTGACGCTGTAAATGTCAAGACTATGTAGTGTCAGATCAGTGAATGTGGAACAGCTGGCAATGAGAACTGGCCCGGACAACCTGAGTACTCAAGAGATACCCGACTCCACTGGCACTCTTCCCACCACAAAATCACGCTCTGACCTGGGCTCAGACACAGGCTGCCGTGGGTTATATCCCGGTAATAACTGGAAATGGTATAACAGGAAATGTCTGACAAACTTAAAACTGTAAGATTTGC